ATGCTTTAATAAATACATTTTTAAATAAGCATTGTTATAATTTTTATTTAAATTAAAATTTTATTTTTTATTGATTTTTTTATAGCTTTTTATTTTTCATTTTCATTTATTTATTTGTGTTTATTTTTTTAATTTTAGTTTTTTTTTTATAGTCAGTTACTTGAAGAATCATGGATTACGGGTTAGCAAAGTGTCAGTGTGGTGAAACTCAACATCAGATGTCTTTGCATCAGAGCAGAAGATGTAATGGAAACTTGTGGAACCCTGTAGAAATGAATTGCAGACATCTTTCTTGCGAGAGCTCACCACTCAAAAGCAGAGGGCTAAGATGGTGGGCTCCAGACTGGAAGCCACAAGAGTCATTCCTAGCCCTCGGCATTGAGTATGACTCATAGAGTACTGCCCTATAGGGCTGGTGTCACTGCGTCTTCTCCCGCTACAGAAAAAGAGTGTTTCTTGTTTGTTGGTTTTCGTGAAATTCAACTTGATTTCGAGGGCAGATACCAGACCCAGCCTTGATTTTTGGAGAAACCCAATCCACTAGAAAGAACAATTCTTACTAAATGAAGCATTAATGTTTTGCATTATGTACAGTTGTTAAAGTAACTACGCTCTCCAGTTCACAGAGATGATGTCAGTCATCCCTACCATGAGAATATCTCAAAGGCTGATCAACATCTACTTTTTTCCCCCATTCCAGAGGTGATGTCCAATCGGATGGAGGGAATGATGAACTCCTACACACCATTGGCTCCAGCCCAGCAACAGATGGTTGCTATGGAGAATGGTTACAGCACCGATCCCTTCCAGCAGGGCCTCACCCCTCCTCAAATGCCCGGTGACCACATGAACCCATATGGTGAGCATCAACCCATGAGCTCTGTCATGTTTGCTCCCTGAAGCTGGGGCATGTGTTTGGACCACAAGGTTCACAGAATGCATCCATACCACCCTTCTTTCCTCATGAGATTACACAAACGCACCACTTTATTTTGAAGTTTTCCTTCCAAATGAATTCAGTGTGTTTCAAAACCATACTCGCCCCATCCACTGTTCCCAGTTTGGTTTATTTGCGCGGGTCTCTTACGGATTAATGGTGTAGTCTGTTATGCTGTGTTACACTATCTATTGAATTTTTGTTAAAGAGCCGAACGATGATCTGTGGTGCGCCATGTAAAACAACAATGGTTAACCATGATAACTGACGCACAAAGAACCATGGGAAAGCATCCATGGGTCTGCTAGCAAAACAAAACTCTGAGAAAAACCATTGAGAGCTTGCCATATTCGTCAAAATTTGGTATAAAGTTTGGGTAAGAGGCGAACTATAATTCTTCAGAGTGACATTGTTTCTGCACAACTTCAGTTGTTCTCAATATTATTGACATTAACTTCAAGCATTAGCCACATAAATCTGGAGACATCGGTCACAGGCAGCCTAAGAACAGGTCCCAAGTGTCTTGTCATTCATTCTCCTGAATGGCAAGGCCCAAATCCCCGGTCTCATCACACTCCAGCTTGGATTTTATGGGAGAACAGCAGGGACAGACAACATTGCCAGCTCATTAAAAAACCATAGCCCATCAACCTGTCACTGTCTTTCAGAATGGTGTCATTAAGTACTGGAAAGCGTATTACAGCTAACTGTGCCCACAAGGAAAATGATAGAGCGAGAAGATTAGCTCAGAAGTAAACATTTGCTATTAGCTCGGTTGTTAGTGAGAAGCCATTTAGTTTAACAATATCCGATTGCATGGAATGTGGGATCCCATACAAATACATAATTGAACAGTCATTAATTTTATGTTGTTTTTGTGAAGATTGATCGATTCATATAAGGGTCTGTGACTCTTAATCACTATTTCTATTTTTGTCTTGAAAAGTATTGTCAAAATAAATTGCTTACTGCATGAAATTTTTGCCCTTCCTATAGAAAAAACTACTTATAATTATCTGAAATTTTAAGAAGCTTATTGACACAAACTTATGAGGATCTGCAAGGGTCCTCGCTATATCACTTCCTGTTTTAGATTTTATTTTTTTTTGTATGTATGTACTTCAGGGTTATCATAGTTAACTAAAACTAAATCTAAAACCATTAAAAAAAACATTTTCATTACTCAAATTAAAGTAAATGTTAACTGAAATAAAATAAAATATATTAAAAATATAGACATACAGTATATACAAAAGAACCCCAAAAACTACCAAAAAAAAAAACTCTCAACAAAATGACTAAAAGGTGAGCTAAAATAAAAACAGAAATATAAAATTAACAAGTGAATCAATATATATACATACATATATATATAAATATATATATATATACATATATATATATATATATACATATATATATATATATATATATACATAATTTTTAATAAATAATGATCATGATAAAATATTATGCTAAACTATCTAACAAGGTTTTATTTTTTTTTTATATGAGGCTTTATTTTCTTCATTATGTTATTGACTTGCCCCCCTAAAAAAAATATCACAATTTATTTTAATACAGAAAAAAAACATGATCATCACAAAAGAGGTCTATTTAGGTCACTGTATACATGAGTGTTACTTTGAATGTATTTTTGAATAAATCAATAAATTCAGACAAAAAAGAGCATCATATTGACCATCTCTTTTCTCTTACCACAGGAAATGACTCGATATTCCACGACATTGACAGTGACACTTCATTGACCAGCCTTAGTGACTGCTTCATGGCCTCATCCGAGGCGGGCTCAATGCAAGCGAGAGTCGGGAATCCCATCGACCGACTCTATTCCATGCAGAGCTCCTACTTTGCTTCATGAAAACCTAAACAGACAGGGAAAGGCAAAAGTGGGTCACTTCGCTGCAGCTCACAAGTCAAACGCCGCCTATCAAGGAAATACAACAGAATCGTCAACAAAGACGAAACATCTTAGATAGACAAACAGGCAAAACAGAAAAGACAAGTGAACTTGAAGACTTGCATTCTTATTTCTCTGCAGTGAAGCACCAGCTCTGGATGCCCAGGCGCCTGAGGCTGAGATTTTTTCTAGTTGCTTGTAGATTGTTTGTACATGACTTTCTCAGAAGTAGCATTTCATCTTATCCTCAAAAAGAGTATTGATGTACAGTCTGACGTCACTGAAGCATCAAGCCTCGACTTATGATTTCCTGCCGGGAGAGGTGGAAGATCAAGTCACAAAGCTCAAAATGCATGAATCCATATCTTTGTGATTGTTACATAAAAAAAATGAAAAACATTTTGGAAAAAAAAAAAAAATCTTGTGTTGTTCAGATGTTAAAAATGTGATGTTCGGACTCATAATTTCCTCTTTTTCATTATGTTCAGCATTGCATTTTTATCACTTTGATAGGTTAGCCCTCTGAAAGACGACGTAGAAAAGCATAGAGGGGGAGATATGTATAGTGTATCTGCATTTGTATGTTAGTGCGTGCGTGTGAGCGTGTGTGTATGTGTGTGTTCCGGCTTACCTGTGTGGTTGTATGAGTGTGTGTCTGTGCGATGGTAAGGTACTGTCATTGAAAGTTTGAACCATGTGTATATATACTTTTCCCAAACAAATCAGTTGTGCATGTTAAAAATGGAGATCATTCTATTTATTTAACTAAAACATGCTTTTGAAGGTACTTAAGAAACTGAAAAGCTTTATTTAATAAGGAGAAAATCATGTTTAAGTAGCTGAGGCATTAATTTCACACCACACTTGTATGTCTTTTAATTAGAAAAATGTATCTTTATTCCAGCAATGTACATCTGCAAAAATGTGCTATTTATTTGTTTCAGCCCTGACATTGCCGAAAAATGCATTTCCAAATGCGAAGATTGCTAATTTGCCAAAGTCTGTTGGTACAATGAATAAAGTCCTTTTCTCCTTGATTTTGTAGCTTCCACAAGACTATTTGAGTACATTGTTTATTATTTACATAATATACATTTTTCATTTTCTTACCTTTAATTAGTAATATTTATTTTTATTTTTATTTTAAGATTTACATAAAGATTTATGTAAAAGGATTACATAAAGATGGGATGGAAACAGGGTTATTATTGTTAACTAAAACTAAAGCCATTGAACATTACTTAAACATGAATTAAAATAAAATAAAATATAAAAAACTTTAAATCATTTTATTTCATCAAGTTGCTAAGGCAACATTTCTCGTTTAGTTTAAAGTAGAGATATTAAAATAACTAAAACTACAGTATATAGACATATTTTAACAAAACAAAAATAGATGACAAAATGACAAACTAAATTATTAAAACTTTAAAACGAAAATAAAAACAGAAAACATACAAATAAAATATAATTCAAAATATTAACAAAAACTATAATAGTGTATTATACTAAAATAACATTGTATGGAAGCACCACCTTACTTGTAAATTATTTTTGCACTTATTTATATTTTTAATAAGTAGTGTTTTTATTAATTAAATAATATATATTAAGTGATTAACCAATGGTAACATATGTATTGATGGTATTACAGTAAGGTTCTATTAGTTAATGTATTAACTAACATGAACAAACAATCAACCAACAGTACATTTATTACAGTTTTTATTACAGTATATAGACATATTTTAACAAAACAAAAATAGATGACAAAATGACAAACTAAATTATTAAAACTTTAAAACGAAAATAAAAACAGAAAACATACAAATAAAATATAATTCAAAATATTAACAAAAACTATAATAGTGTATTATACTAAAATAACATTGTATGGAAGCACCACCTTACTTGTAAATTATTTTTGCACTTATTTATATTTTTAATAAGTAGTGTTTTTATTAATTAAATAATATATATTAAGTGATTAACCAATGGTAACATATGTATTGATGGTATTACAGTAAGGTTCCATTAGTTAATGTATTAACTAACATGAACAAACAATCAACCAACAGTACATTTATTACAGTTTTTATTCATCTTTGTTAAAGTTAGTTAATGAAAATACTGTTGTTCATTGTTAGTTCATGTTAATTCGCAGTGCATTAACTAATGTTAACAAGCACAACTTTTGATTTTAATAATGCATTAGTACATGTTGAAATTAACATTAACTAAGATGAATAAATGCTGTAGAAGTATTGTTCATTCTTAGTTCATGTTAACTTAGTTAATGAACCTTACTGTAAAGTGTTACTGTATTGATGCATACACTAAGCCTTAAGTTAAAATAGGCTACACCTTCAAATATAATTATAATAATAATAAAAATCTAATGTAGTTAACTAATGAACCTTATTGTAAAGTGTTACCGAATAAATAATTAAATAAAACAATATAAAAACAATATACAACTAAAATATTAATAACATACTCAGACTAAACAAAAAAGCATAATGGTGCACACATTTTAATGCATATTCCATCTGTTACACATGCCTAATTATGAAGCCCTGAGTGGACGTTTTCTATGAAGTCAATATGTTTACCGGAGGATATAATTTGTCTTCTTACAACAGGTTTTGAGTTACTGGAGATGGGAACAAAGCTTTGCGAGCATGAGTCACACGTGTTCTCTAGTGTCACACGATCACGCATCACATGCCACACACTGAGCTCATGCATGTGTGTTGGTACAGCAGTGGGAGCTTTTGCTTTCCAAGTCGTGGAGGCCGTAAATTAATCCGGCGCAGGTTTAGATTCCTCAGCAGGCAGAGGCCTGGAGGCCAGATCTAGTACCATCACTGTAAGTCGGCCCTCTCTGATGATCAAGTGGTGGTATATCTCTCCTCTTATCTCGCTCTCATCTGCCATCACAGGTGTTAGTAGGTGTGGTTGTTCATCTAGTCTCTGTCAGAGCAGGTCTTATCAGCAGATCCACCCAGGAACCCCGCCAAGCCTGCATCTACAGTGACAACGCAGCTCCTCACATGCAAAGAAGGGGGAAGCAGGTGGCACTCTGTTCGACCCGTTGACCTCAGCGTGGCTTCCTCTGGAAATGCATTTCTGTCACTCCTTTAGATCCACGGGATCCACCCACTTTTACTCAGGCCTTTGCATTTCAATGAGTAGTAATCAATTATTTGAGAATTCACCTGTGCTAGGACACAAATTGGATCTCAGGTTACGCCCACATTAATCCGGGTAAATTTGAAAATACATCTTTTCTCTATGGTTTGGCCTTTTGTCCACACTGAGACAGTGGTAATTAACATTAACAAAGATTAATAAACGCTGTATAAGTGCAGTTCATTATTAGTTCATGTTAACTAATGTAGTTAACTAATGAACCTTATTGTAAAGTGTTACCGAATAAATAATTAAATAAAACAATATAAAAACAATATACAACTAAAATATTAATAACATACTCAGACTAAACAAAAAAGCATAATGGTGCACACATTTTAATGCATATTCCATCTGTTACACATGCCTAATTATGAAGCCCTGAGTGGACGTTTTCTATGAAGTCAATATGTTTACCGGAGGATATAATTTGTTTTTTTACAACAATAGGTTTTGAGTTACTGGAGATGGGAACAAAGCTTTGCGAGCATGAGTCACACGTGTTCTCTAGTGTCACACGATCACATGCCACACACTGAGCTCAATGCGTGTTGGTACAGCAGTGGGAGCTTTTGCTTTCCAAGTCGTGGAGGCCGTAAATTAATCCGGCGCAGGTTTAGATTCCTCAGCAGGCAGAGGCCTGGAGGCCAGATCTAGTACCATCACTGTAAGTCGGCCCTCTCTGATGATCAAGTGGTGGTATATCTCTCCTCTTATCTCGCTCTCATCTGCCATCACAGGTGTTAGTAGGTGTGGTTGTTCATCTAGTCTCTGTCAGAGCAGGTCTTATCAGCAGATCCACCCAGGAACCCCGCCAAGCCTGCATCTACAGTGACAACGCAGCTCCTCACATGCAAAGAAGGGGGAAGCAGGTGGCACTCTGTTCGACCCGTTGACCTCAGCGTGGCTTCCTCTGGAAATGCATTTCTGTCACTCCTTTAGATCCACGGGATCCACCCACTTTTACTCAGGCCTTTGCATTTCAATGAGTAGTAATCAATTATTTGAGAATTCACCTGTGCTAGGACACAAATTGGATCTCAGGTTACGCCCACATTAATCCGGGTAAATTTGAAAATACATCTTTTCTCTATGGTTTGGCCTTTTGTCCACACTGAGACAGTGGTTTTTTTTTTAAGAAGATGCTCTCCCAACTGGAGTAGTTGTAGTATTTACTGTGAAAACGCAGCATTCGAAAATGGTGATGCATGTTTAGTCATGTGATGCATATTGTACCCACATATGGTTGTACCAGCATTGTATACTTTGTACAAACTTCACCTTCAATCTTCCTGGAAAGATGTCGCAATAGCTGTCCTGCAGCAAAAGCTGATGACAACAAAAATGGTTTTCAAGATTGCGTTTTAGTAACTTTTCAGATCAATAAAATCTGACAAAAATGGCATCATATTTACTATTTTTAATAAACTGTAATATTCAGGCTGGTCTAGTTAAATTCACATGTGTGTTGTATAGAGGAAACAAACACTATCAAAAAGACAACTGGCTCTTTTTGGAAGTGGCAGATCTTTCCTTCCGTACTGTGACATACATCCGTGTGAAACGGATTATTGAAAAGAAAAAATGTAGAACAGGGACTTGGGTCAGTCTGTCGGTTGTTGATTGGATAGAGGCAGATGTGAATGCGAACTTGCAATCAGTTATGGGGGGCTAAAGTTTAATCAGGCTAAATGATTGGAGAAATCTTGCATACATAGAGAGAAGTCTGTTATTTCACAGGAAGATCGAGTTAAAATGAATGAAATGCATGTATGAATCATTACAACAGGATCAATAACATGCATTTAGTAAACTGTAAAGTTCCATTTCATTGTGGCTTTAAGTGAAATGAGGGACATTAATTCTTCCTATATTTCCATGGTTTCTCCCATTCATTTTACAAGAGTGATTCATCTGCCTCTATATAATGTTTCTGGTACATCAGTTCAACAGAACATTCAAAGCTAGGTTAGATTAATGATTCATTTGTGGTTCATGCCTCATCTACCAATAATTTAGTAGTTAAAAACGAATTTAGATAATGTCCCCTCAAGCATCTGAGTGAAGGTGTGCATCATGTGTGAGTGTTCTGAGCAAGTGACACACTATTTCAGGTGGGACTGTGTGTTTACAATAGAAAGAGGGGTCATTTATTAATCATTTACATTTAAAATAAAGGCTGAGCTGCATTATTAGAACATAACTCTTCAGTAAACTATGTGGAAGTCATGCACAGAGCTTTAAAACAGTGTTCCACTTTCTCTTTCACTTTTTACGATTTTGCATGCATGTTTTTGTTTGTAAATGTTTAGACTAAAAGGTTGAAGTCATTGTTTATGTTCACTGTTTATATTCTCTATCTGGTAATTCTGATGTGGTTTATTGAAGAAGAAGCTTTATTGAGTTCTTGAAGTTATTATCACAGTAGTTTCAACACTCGTTTATAGATGGGTTTGAAAGCAGACTGAAGGATGCCTGCTAGCATGCTAACCGAAAACAAATGTTCACATTTTCATATGTATGTATACATATACATTGTGCCATTTTTATTTTTTTATTTTTACAATGATTAGGCACATGAATTTAATTACATTCTCAGGGGGGCGTTTTCAGGCAACACTTTTTGAAATGTTGGGGTTGCTTCACCACTGAGGGCCCTGAGGATCTTTCTTAGTTCTGAGGTTTAAAGATTCGCAGGGCTCTAGCACAGATTACAATTATTGAGACACCTTCCAGCACATAAGTAGCTACAGTATATTACTGTATTTCTTATTAAGCTGTTAAATTAGTCGCTGACCTGGTTATATCTACTATATTATATTATTTC